TTAAATTTTGTGAATATTTAGCATATTTTTTAGCATAAGGGAAAAATGCATAGAATGTTGTTATAAAGCAGCTGTGAGGGTACGGATTTTTTTTACCATGTTTCAGTTAGATGCTGATCTGCATCTTGGCCTTGTATTTTCAAAGGGATGTTAGAAGGCACTCAGCTGCAGCTAACATTCAGCAACACAAATTCAACTACAGTGAATTAATGACTGAAGATGAAAGCTGGGCTCCAAGAGCTTCTCTGTAGAATGTACTCTGAAATTCAAGTGTTTACAGAGATCTCAAACACTGCAGATTGATCCCCAGTCCCAGAACCTAGCCTGTGTTGAGTTTAGCTGCTTTGTTTTTCCTACACTCTGCAAGGTGCTTTGCAAAGTTATTTCAGAGGTGGTAACTCCCCTCTGAAGCAAGAAAGATACACACTGCTGTTGGTGTAAGAGGCACTGTGGGAAATAACAAATCCTTTGTAGAATAGAAAGGTAAAAATTATGGTGGTTTTCAGTGTCTGTGATCCCATGCTGTATTTACAACTGTGTTTATCTCTTGTTGCCTTGCAAATTCTCATCTGATTGATTGCCTCCAGCTTAAAGTTCCCTCTGAATTTCAACTGATATAATGGTTTCTCCTTCCTCCCCTAAATACTTTGTGTTGCTGCTGTATGTTGTCGTGTAATACCTCAGATAAGTATCTCATCACAAATTATGAAATGTTGGCAACATTTGTCAGTAGGATATGGAAGCTGCCCTTGAATGGGTCTTTTCAAACAAACTGAAAATGTATGAAATTTAAAGATAAAATCATAATGTGGCTAGACCATTGATTAATGTAAATATGCTGACGTAAATGGGAAAGTACTGATGTACATCAGCTGAGAATGTGCCTGGTGAAATTAAAAGAAAATAAAGGGTTTAGGGGGCTAGTGATGCTGGTCTCTTAATGTCAGCACAAACTTTCACCCAAGACCATATCGTCGTTAATATGTAACTCTGCAGTGCCAGAGAGGTCAGGCTATTCCTGCCACTGCAACAACCAGACACTGTGGTACCTCCTACGAACAACACAGGAGCAGAAGCATGTATTCTTTAATTAAATCCTGGATCAGGTCTTCCGCTGGGGTGGTTTGGCATAACTCCATATACTTCAAAGGAACTAGATTGATTCACAGTGGCTGAGCACTTGGTCTTTTATTAACGTATACTTCTGTGTATTGAAATTACGTGGCTTGCTTTTCATAACCATAAGTAGTTTAACATTGGTCAGATAGAAGTTGTTCTAAACTGTATGAGGTAGTAACTTGAAGACTGTGCCAAAAAAAAAAAAAAAAAAGAACAGAACAGTCAGTTTAGTTAGCAGAATGGTGTATAGGGTGAGGTCTTTTGGGGTTTTGTTTTTTGGGGTTTTTTTCTTATTTTTTTCAATCACAGTGCAGTCTAGATTTAGCCAAACTGGTTTTTAAAAAGGTGGCTTCAGAGCAGGCTAGGGTTGCTGGTGCTGAGTTTTTGTGCTGTTGTACTTGGAGAGCTTGATATACTATGCTGTAGCCAGAACATACATTGGGCATCTCTAAGAGTTCTCTTGTGCATTGTGGAATATTATATTATACTATATTGTAGTTGCTTGCATGTCTGCATGCTTGCCAGCTTCAAAATCAAAAGTGTTCTGCACAGCTCATTTGCAGCACCCCTGTGCAGGCACTTCCCTCTGTTTTTTTTAAATTTTCTTATAATTTATATATTTATATTCTCCTTTCCTCTCTCTCATCTGCAGCATCAGAGTGTCCCTGTTTCTTGGATGAATATAAAGAGTTTATCTTTCTTTTGGCCCCTGAAGCAGATCAGGTGTAAAACATGCCTTCAGAAGGCAAGAAGTCCCAAAGATATTAGTTATCCCTCTTCTTCCAGACAAACAACAATAGCCTAAACATCTGCCTAAGAGCATATGGACCCCAAGAAAAGAGGCAGTATGCTTGCCCCTGCTGTTCATGTCGGGTGCAGCAAAAGACTCTTCAGAGAGTTCTGTGCCACCACAGTCCGGCATCTGCTTAATTTAGTCTGGGCTACTCTGCTCCAGGCTCCCAGAAACTGAGGTCTTGTCTATGCACTGTGCTAAATACTTGTGGGTGTTTTAATAGTGTCATAGTAATTTTAGTGTTTCCATGCACTGATTTTTGTGGTGTTACGTTAGCAAATGTAATATTGCACTAACGTATTCCTTTCACCTTTTAATATAGCAGGTACATTTGATGTAAACATGCTTAGCAAAACAACGCAAGATTGCATTTTGTTCTGGTTTAGGCCGTGTTTAGGTAGAAAAGACAAATATGAACTCTCTGCCCAAGCTGGTCCCATCTTACAGTCCCCTCCAGTTTGCTTGTTTAAGAACAGGGCTGACTTGTTAGGCCACAGAAGGCTGCCAGAAATATTAATGACTCTTTGACAGAGTAACCCAAAAGATAGACTTGCAAGCTGATGCCACAGTATCTATTATTGGCAGAAATACAGTCATTCGAATAATAAATGAGCCCTTAACATCTGTCAGGTTGCTTGTTTTCTCAGGGGCCCGGTGATTGGGCTGCATGCAATAACATGATGACCTTCTGAGGAGCCTACATCAAAATTAATGGTTTCATCAGCTTGCAGGAACAACTAAATAATTGGGCACACCTGGGACTATACTAAAGGGCTCCTTTATGCTTAGTAAACACTTTTTAACTAGTTTCAGTAAAGTGTGGATCACTGAAACCTGAGTGTTGCAGATTGGTCAGAGAACTTAGTTTGATGGACTGTTGGGAGTATGTGGGAGCTTGAGCATAGGTATCAAGAGTATAAGTGAGCATCAGGAATGGATGAGGAATCAACTTTTAGAAAAATCAATTTAAGACCTTACTAGTTATATCTTGAATACTTTGCAGGGGATTAGCCTGGCAACCTAGCAGCTCTGCAGAAAGGTGTAAGGGCAGCCAAAGTTTGGACCCTTAATGGATGACAGCAATAGAAATGTTTTCATATGTTGCAGTTTAAGGTGTGTTTTCTTTTTCTTCCTAGAGACTCAGTAAATTTTCATCTCAAATTTTAGTGACATAAACGACCAGTGATGCTCTGAAAAATGTGCTTTAAATGTTTCTGCAGAATGATTGAGCTCCTAAAATATTTGGCAGTCTCCAAAGATTTCTTTGCCTCCCCTAATGAGGTGTATGATAACAACCTCTTACTCTCTTTCCAACCCTGTAGTAGTAGATGTGAATCTTCCACCTGATTCAGAGCACACCTGGAATTAACAGCAAGTCTGTGAATTGCAATTACCTTAGGCATTAAGGCATAGCTTATGTACAGTGTAGTACAAAATTTCTCATTGTATGAGGCCAAGACAAACATGTATCTATGAAATAAATCTTACAGAGTAAATATACTACCTAGTAAATTGCTTACATAACGGGAAGGTCCCCAGCCATTCCAGGAGCCTGCTTCCTAGTCTGGTCCACAGGCAATGCTGAAGTGAGTTGAATTCAGAATAGATATGCTTCTTTTTTAGTAAACATTGAGAACGGATCTTGTTCAACAGATTTACCTGTTGCTGTCTTTCACTTGAAGTGATTGTACATCAAGGAATGCCAGTTTTGCTTTTGTTTTCTTGGTTGTTTTTTCCCCTAAGAGAGCTATCTTAGCTCCAGAATTTATGTGTTTGGTGCAGAATTTGCTGTGTGAGGTTCTTTGGGTTATGTGGGAAGTCAGATTTGATTATTTTAATAATAATTTTTAGCCAGTTTAGAATATCTAGTGGGTTGAGCAACTCTCATGCTTTTTTTCAGTACATACAAGAGAAAGATCTGGAAAGCAGTTCTGTCAGTACTAAATGTATTTGTGTGAAAATCCAAGCAAAAACTTAAAGCACTGGAGTCCAGACCGTTTTCCATAAATGAAATAAGAAGTATTGGTTAAGTTAGCACACAGTGTGATATAGCTGCAACACATCACGTCATTAGACTGCTTTTTATAGTGACTGGAATGTTGCCAGTTTAAATAAGCTTTGTACGTCTATTTGAAAGCATGTCTCTATGCATGCTGGCTATTTAATCCTTTAAGCTTTTATAGTCTTTTTTAGAAATGTAGCCAACTTGTTAATGCATGTACTGTGACTTTTGAATATATGTTTGAGTTTGACACCTTATTTTGATTTGCTAATTATGGAGAATTAAAAGAATCTTCCTACTGATTCTGGAGTTTGGGGTTATCCCTTTTTTTTTTTTTTTTTTTAATTTGAAAGTGTGTTTATAAATGCAGTAGGGAATCCTAGCTAGGCAGTATCGCATAACTTTCTGTTCAGTATAATGCCATTAATGTCAAGCCACCTAACTGATCTCAATGTAGTGTCTGTTCAAAGGAGTACAGGGAATAATGCTGGGAATTAAGTGGCCTGTGTTTTATTCTGAGAGCTAAAAATCTGCAGTTCACCTCACTTGTGAGTCATTGCCCTAAAATGAGCATAGTATTCAGCAACCTTTTTAAATCACCGATAGATTTGGATGTAAAGACCTGTACAAGAGCAAAAGTACTTACTACATAATAGCAGAGAGACCTAGAGGTGGCATTTATTGTTAAAAAGAGAAGATGGTTTAATTGTCTGGGCCATGGTTATGAGGAGTAAAGACTAAGAGAGCAAGAACACCATTTGGCAGTGTTGCCTTGGGTCTCTAGGAACAGTAGCTGAGAAGTCACCAAAGATATCCATACAATTCTGACCTCTCAGTGGAAACCATACGTTGTGCCATGCTGCACAGTGGTATACTATGCTGTGGTTGTTATTCAACGTGTATATGAACCTGCAGCAGTAATTGTGTATGCTCTGTAGAAGGTGAAGCTGGAATGGAGTAAAATGCATATTTAAAAAACAGGAACTTCTTTCTGCAGATACGCTGCCCCCCTTGCTGGTGGTAGTCAGGGCAAACTCTTTCCCAGTGTGAAGACTGAGTAATTTCTAATTCTTCTTGTCCTTGCAGGTCAAGCCGGTTACTCACAGTAGAATCACTGTGTCAGCACGGTTTCGAAAACCACTCCAGGAACCCTACACTATTTTGTAAGTAGAATTTTCAGTTAGTGAACTGCCATTTTGGGGCATATGGTGGGGTGGTGGTGTCTTAACTTCAGATGATTTTTTCTTTTTAAATGTTCCTGCAAATTATTTTACTTTGCTTTATTTCAGTCTGATTGCTAACGGAGACCTTATTAGCCCTGTAGTGCGCCTCCTCATTCCCAGGAAAACACTGAATCACTGGGATCATATTCTCGAAATGGTTACAGGAAAAGTTACCCTCAGAAGTGGAGCTGTTCACAGGTATAAAGAAGCTGATATTTGCAAGATACATTTGATATGCGTAGATATGTTTTTAAAACTCCATAGGTAGATGTAATGGATCATTCCTGCTTCATGGGAAATTCCACTATAAGAAAGATAAAATACACCAAAAAGCCACAAAATAGAAATAGATTGACTCCAAGTAACCTTCAGGTTTCATTTCAACTGCTATTTAAAAAAAGAAAAACCTCAATTTGTTTCAGCTGTTATTTCCTGATTAAATATTCAGTTAGCAGGCATGTAGTAATACAATAATAATGCACTATATTTATTATTAAGTATTAAGTTACATGTCAGAATAAAATAAATGAGCACGGTAAAATTGGTGAAGATTGTTTGGAATGTGCAATAACAGATGCGATCCATGTTATCTTTTAATTTTGATAGTTCTTTAAATTCATTGGGGCAAACAATTTCAGGGAAAATATTATAGATTCTTTGGTTTTTGAAGACCTGTGCTATGACTAGGATGTGCTTTATACTCAGCCAGGGAAGCCTCCTAATAAAAGCCAAGGCTAAAGTTGTAGTTGGGGGTTTGCCAGTTCCAGTATCTCAGCTGGTCTGAGTTGTGGTATCCCAGGAATAGGAGGTGACCTCTTGGATAGGTAAGTTTCAGTCCCTTAAGGCTTTTACAGTCTAAAATAAGCTCTCTAAAGTCGGATTTGGTAGTTGTTGCAAGTTTTAGAGCAAAATGATATATGCAGTTTCCATGAGAAACACTGCAGTGTAAGCGGGCTGCCAAGGTCTGTACAAGCAAATTACTGACATTCCAGTGTTGCCCCATGCAGAGCACATTACAGAAATCAGAAATCCGTTCCTCAGGTGTAAGGGGCCTTTTGTGGAAAATCGTTCTTCACAGCTTATGCAATTTCTGAGGCTAAGCTTGCAAAATCTTTCTCAAATCAGCAAAGATAAGGTAGTCTTTAAGTTCTTCTCATTGCTTTCCCAGAGCCGATAAAGTCAATGAAAGATTAAGGTAATGCTGTCTGTTGACTTTTAGCTCTCATCTAATTTTTCCTCTCAGCCCTGCATTTCTTTGCTCCTATTATCTGGCTACTTAGCACTTTTACTTGCAGTAAAGTAAACCTATACATGTGTTACAGCTTTCTGGATCTGATTCTCAGTTAGTGTAACTGAAGTGAGCAAAGTAACAGTCATTTACAACATACCAATTCTTTCTGCTCTCAGGTTGGTTAGCAATTTAAAAACCTTTCACATTTTATTCTTATTACTTGGTGTCACTCCTTGGTGAAACTGAATGATGTACATGAAAGCATAAATCATTCTGTACGTAGACAGGACTGCTTTTGAGAAGTTCCCCTCAGTGTTCAGCTTTAATCCTTTAAAAGATAAGATAACATACATGACATTTTGAATTATTTAATGTTTTCCTTTTTCTGGTTTTCTATTAACCCAGTTTTCATTTTCTTTTCCTTAAAATGCTAGGAATACATATTAAATACGTTAGTAAAGTGATCGTTGTTCTTTAATAAGTTACACATTAATTGCTGGGGTTTACTGAAACTATGTTAGCGTTAAGGGACGTCCTGTAAGACCACTGATGCTGGGAAGATATAATTTCTCATTAAAGAGGGGTAAGTGGAATTACGAGAACCTGCATTATGTATATGGCAGTTTTTCTTTTCCATGTTATTAAAAGACATACAAAGCTGCCAAGTCTTACGCAGTTTCACGCATGTGGGTTTTTAAAAAAAAAAAAAAATTATTGATCATCCCCATCAGAATAGGAATGTAAGTAAGAAATATGAGAGAGGAGACAATGAGAAAGTAGCTTTTCTGCTTGCCAGATTGTGCATGGGGATGGGGTCCAGCAACCTGATGGGCAGGTACCTGGGAATTTGGGGATATTGGTTCTGCAAGTTGTGTCTTCGTTGTCTCCTTTGTCAGCCTGTACGCTTGCTTTGTTTTGGCTGCCACTTTTTGGCTTGGATTCAGGAGGGAAAATGGAAGTCCACTGCCATACCACAGGACAAGTCCTAGGTCATCTCCCAGTGACCAGAAGAAGTGACCACAAAGACATCTTTGTTGCTTAATACTAGCCAGAGAGAACCCAGCTGGTCTGTGAATGGTTGTGGCCAGGTGGGTGGGTAGAAGGCTTCAGAAGTAAGTGTCGCAAAACTTGAGTGATGCTTGTTAAGTCAATAGTCATTTATTTGTTTGAAGTTCCATTTTTCTAAAATGCATTTTTAAATTCACTTTCATCTTCAGTGACTGATTATGTTTGATTCAGTTATTGTGATTAATATTTTCAGGGTGAAGAATACAACTAGAGATTGCCAGATAAGCCATAACATTTTGGGGAGTTATATTAAGCAAACAAATTTTGTGCATTAAATATAACATTAAAACACAAGCAAAGTGAAAGATTGGGAACAAAACCCCACAGTCATATTTGTAGGTACTCCTATATACCTGCACACCATACAAATCATATAAAACAGTTCTTGAACTGTGGTACACTGATTTGCTGTTTTGTCCCCTAAGTTCCCCAAAGCAAAAGGTAATCTAGCAAAAGACAGTGAGATTAATTCAGAAATAGACCTCTTGCTGATTTTTAGATTGCTTGTTTTATTTTCATTGTTTGTGTGTGACTGATGTCTGCGTGGTTGTGAAACATAAATTGCTCTTTGACTTGCTGGCATGCCTGTGAAATGTTTGCACTAAAAAGTAAATATGAGTAATATAAAGGGGGTGCTTCAGAGTCAGCATACCGCTTCGCAAGGAAGCAGCAATGTGATCAAGATTTCAAAAAGCTGCAATTTCACCTTTGAAAACTTTCAGTCTTTGCACTTAGAAAACCAAGGTACTTCTATATGGCAGGAGGCACCTAGAAAATCAAGGTACTTTCATCAGGGGAATATAAGACATGGACACGCTGGAGCAAGAACAGCAAAGGGCCACAGAGATGAAGGGCTTGAAGATGCCTGTCATGTGAGGAGGATTGGGAGAGCTGGGACTCTGTAGCCTGGGGAAGACAAGGCTCAGGGGGATCTTGTTAATGTGTATAAACACCTGCTGGGAACAAGTGAAGAAGTCAGAGCCAGGCTCTTCTCAGTGGTGCCCAGTTACAGGACAAGAGGCAATGGGCACAAACTGAAATACAGGAAATTCCACATGAACAGAAGAAAAAAAAAAATTTACTGTAAGGGTCATCAAACACTGGAACACGTTGCCCAGGGAGGTTATGGAGTCTCCATCCTTGCAGTTACTCAAAACGCACCTGGACACAGCCCTGAACAACCTGCTTTAGTTGCTCTTGTTCTGCTCAGGGTGGTTGGACTAGGTGGTCTCCACAGATCGTGTCCAGCCTCAGCTATTCTGTGGCTCCTGGTTCTATAAACTGCATCTTTTTTTTTCTTCAAGGTTTTTATTCAAGGTTGTGCCACTGTGTGTATGAACTTAAGCAGCTTTTTCTCTATAAAACTGAAAATTTTTGCACTTTATAAGTCAGGGGTATTCTCAAGGCAGGCTCTTGATATTCTTCCTAAAAGGTTCATTGTATAGGTGTATATATCATTTTATATCTCATTGCATTGTGTTGAAATCTATGAGTAACACATGTAGCAGCTCCTGTAGAAGGCTTCTAGAAAGGCAATTAAGATAGCCATTCAACATTCCTGCATTTGTCTTAAATGCAAGACTGTTGATGTTGACTTTTTAATTAAATATAAATATTGTTGAGTTTTGGAATATGCTTCATAGGAAAGAGCTTATTTATTGTTGCATGTTTCCTTCTTCCTCATTGTGTTGACTGTCCCCCCCGCCCCCAGTCCCTAATGCATTTCTTCCTTCTTGGTAAAGTGTAGAAACAGAAATTATTGTGGTAAAAATCTACCTGGTGTAGTAGACATATTAATGATTGGTATTGTAGGTGCTTAAGATACACAGCTTCTTGTTATAATGTCTTATTGTATTTCCCGCTACTCCCAGCCTTACCCCACCAGGTACAGCCATGTTCCACCCTTCCGATCTATACAATATAACAGTGTAAGTGCACTATTATCAACTTGGTGTGCGTTAGGTGGACAGGTCCTGGGTTTTCAGTCATGGGGCCATGAATGCCCTGTTCTTCCCAGGTTACTGCGTAGTGCCCAGAGCACAGATGGGAGGTGGAACTTGGTATGAGAGGGGTCGGGAACTCATGGAACAGACCCCTTCCAAGGTATCAGGGGAAAGGCATTAAAGTCTTCTAGGTACAAAGTGATTTATTTCATTTTAGAAATTATGAAAGTATTTCATCTGTCATAGCACTTCATTAGTTTTATATAAACTGTGATTTAGGTCATTATTTTGCTCTGTCTTTCCTTGTATTTTGTTTTTTTGTGTAGCGACTGATCATTGTATGGCATCCACTGTACTTTATTGGGTTTTATATCTGGAAATTCAACATAATTTAGTGATTTTGGATTAACATAGCTTTCAATGCTCTTAATACAAGTAACTGAATGTTAAGGTTTATTACATTAAGCATTTTCATATTTTTCAGACTTTACACTTTAGATGGAAAACTTGTTCAGAATGGGTCAGACTTGGAGAATGGGCAAATCTATGTTGCAGTGGGTAGAGAAAAGTTTAAGAAGTTGCCATATGGTGATCTGCTGTTTAGCAAATCGACAATGAGAAGGCCACAGGGGTAAGTTCCATAGGTGTCTGATATATTTCTCTCGTGCTTGTGTGTGTCAATTTGTTTACAAAGTACCACCAGTAAAGTACAAAATCATCATTCCAAGAACAAGGGATGGAGGGATGGAAGGACGGAGGGAGGAACGGATGGGTTTAGTATGGATGCAAAACTTTATTGACAACTTGTGAGAAAGTTGAGATAGCAAAAACAAAAGAGAAAATGGAAATTCAGAAGACTATTTCACCTCATAAACATGCCATTGAGCATGTATCACAAAATTAATGTCAGAGAAAGGATTGTTTTGACTTGGCTTAATTTGTTTTTTTTTTCCTGGGATACAAATGTGTACAGCTGAATGAGATTAGGTGCAGCTACACCAGTCTAGATCTACTCTTGCTTGGTAATCTTTTGTGGAATATGTACTCCCTTAAGAATGCTTTCTGTTTGGGTCTATTTTTTGTAAGCTAGAATTATCACATAATAAAGTCCTAAATGGGGTGCCTGTAAGGAGAAGACTGGGCTTTCAGTATCTTTGGAAAACATGAAAATTGGGAGCCATTTCATTGAAATAAATGGAAAGAAATGGAAATTTGTCCCACAAATTGGTGTAATTTAGAGAATTTGTCCTGTATTCTGCATATAAACTGGGGTGTAATTTATATATATATTTTTTTTTTTTTAGTGAGCAACTATAGACAATGTAAATAACTTGAAAGTATTTTGGGAAACATCATTTGCAACAAATGAGTTTAAGGACAATGAAAAGCTATGTTGATGTAAACAGAGTTTTGTTGAAATTGCCAGAACTTGCCATTATAATAGTTGTAAGGATCTTTCACATAGTAATTCACTGAATACTGCTCTGCAAATTTTTGGTATATAAAGTATGCATTGTGGGGAACTGTAATGCGTTTGTTTGAATAAGTTAATGATTGATTATGCGTTTAAATATAGTATAGTGAACAGAAATGAGTGATTCTTAGTAAAAATGCACAATGAATAAAACAACTCTGTTGTCATAGCCGACTTGGTGTTATCTGACTTGGTTATAGATACATAGTGTCTATGATAGTGACAGTGTACACAATTCTAAGATATGGCTTGTTTCTGCAGTTCCAAGGCCTCTGTACTACCTCCAATTGTGGGATCTCGAAAGTCTAAAGGCAGTGTAAGTATCGAGTGGCATAATAAAGATAGTTTCTAATTTTGCTTAATTCCGGCAGATGGAAAGTCCCTGTCCTTTGGGTTTTAATTAAATCTGAAGAGAAGAAATCCACAGCCACCTGGTGGTATGCTTATTAAAGCTTGATGAATATGTAGCTATTTGCAGTGTCAATTAGACAAAAGAAATCTGAGAAAATATTATTGCAATAATGGCTGCTTTATTTTTTATAAAACCTTCCATAGCAAAGATCAACTGCTATCTTGAGGTCTTTCCCATAAACCTTGTCAGCTATCTTTGTGTATTTTTTAATTTATTTATTCAAATTATATACCTAAAGGAAAAACACAGAACCTTTTACAAAATGTCTTGCAGAAAATGGTGTTTCTGCGTGCTGAGTCTGAATAAGGCCCTAAAACAGTTTCCTATCTGATGTGTTTTGCCCTAGCTAACCATTAAATACAGAGCTTGAGCCTCCGCTGCTTTGTATCCTGTATAGCTATTTATGTGTGTACAAAATGAGTCCACTATGGATTTAAAAGAGTGCCAAATCAGAATATAAGTATCTGTTTGCACTGATTCTGTACAAGTGCAGTTTACTGTACAAGTACAAGACAGCAGAGAGTCAGACCCAGAGTCTGTCATTGTAATTGTGGTAGTTGATCATGCCCATTCACTGTTTACAAAACAAAAACCCTGGAGCCACTAAACAAAGTAAGCAATAAAATACACAAGTCCCTGTTCCATTCTGTTGAAATGCAGTAGAAGAAAAAACCTCAGTAAAGAACATACTTTCAAGTGGTGCTTGTTTTTAAAATGTGAGCTTTGCAATTCTAGCATTTGTAAAAATAACTCATTAGCAGGTTTAACTTCTTGCCTCTTCTACTATTACTTAACAACACATACAGAAAATTATTTGTTATTCACTTTTATTCCACTGGGATTGTAGCACATACTGATAACAAGTCAAAACTTAAGGAGGCAGGACTATGTACTACTGCTCTTAAATATCTAATGCAACACTTGAACTGGTATAAATCATGCAATTGTTTGCTTCAGTTTGATATCTACACTTTTTTACCATTACTGCTTGGGAGTAACAGTCTCCAGTTTGAACTAGAAGAGACTGAAATACTGCCGTGCCCTCATTTCTCTTTATAGAGAAAGGATAAGTGGTAGATTTGATGGTATTGGTAGATAAATGGTAGATTAGATGGTAAAAGCGAGATGGTATTTAAGCAAGATATTTTAAACAGAACTGTTTTCTACTGGTTTTTTGAAAACTAGAAGAATCACATAAAAATGTAATAATGTATGCAGAATTTTTCAAAGAGATATGGGATTTTGTTCAGGACTTATTCTTCTGAAAGATTTACATTTTATATATATTACCGTTTAACTTTAGCAGTGAGGTGAAAAGAATTGTCCTTGACCATTGCAGAATGAAAGGCCTTTCTGGTGGGCAAGTTCTAAAATGGCATGACTTGTTCATGGAGCAACACTAAATGAAACAATGGAGCAGAATATGTTTGTCTTCTTTGATTCAGCTAAGTCTGTGATAAGTCGAACAGTTCCAGATACTGATGAGGTTTTCTGCCCTATCTACATGAGTGTTTTGTTGTTATATGGAGTGTTTTGACAGAATTGGATTAGGAGGAAACTACACATGCGGTTAGACTGGCAAAAGTAGGAGGCTGACAGCCTCTATTAAGAGGCAACAATGAGGGCGTTCAGTTGGTAAGGTCTTTATGCAGCCTAGACCAATATAAATAGCACCCTAAAGGGCTGCTATATACAGTTCAGGTTTTTACAGTGTTGAGTATGAACAGATTTAGACTGAAGAAAAATGTGTATAAATAATAAAATCTCTGGCTAGTACACCCAGAGTCATACATATATCAAAGCTGTAAAAATAAGGACCAGGTTTCTGGTTCTGTTTCTAGATACACTACAGAGCAAGCAGAGGAACTGGCTGATGTCCTTGGGGGTGATTCAGAGGTGATGTGTGGGCAGATGCCTTTCTTAGTGTCCACTTGGTAGTCAGTGTAACTGCCACACGAAGACTGTCATCCTCTTCCAGCTGCTTTTGACACTTAAATTAATGCCCATGTCTCATTTACACAGGCAATGAATTATTCACAAGTTATATATGTTACATCTTGTGACCTTCCACACATATGCATGAATGAGATACACCTGTACATCATATGCATGCATGTATAGATTCACCTAGCCATTCTTTTTATCAAATAAAGCATTACTTTCTTAAAATGAATGTGCTCTTTTATTCTGGGAGTAATTAAGGACCATTTAATCACTTGGATCGTAGAGTGAGTTGATGAGATAGTTACAGTTTTCTGGATAGTTTAAGATATCACTTAATTGTACTGATTGTAAATTAATATGCTTCTTTAACGCCTGATACCAATCCTTAGTATTAAAAGGCTGAAATAATATTGAAAATTAAAATAATAAACTTTGTCATTTTCATCAGCAATAATTACATACACTTCTTTTCAGGGAAATGATCGGCAATCTAAATCTACCGTTGGATCCAGTGACACAGGAGAAAACAGTTCCTCACCTCAGCTTCCCAAAGGGAAAGACAAAAAAAGCCAGAATCCAGAGGATTCTGTGTCCAGACGACAGTTTCCTAACAACTCTACAAAAGTAAAACAGACAGTAACAGCTTCCACAGGAGTCCTTCAAGGTAATGGTCAATACTGAGATAAACACTGTAGTAGCACAGTGGCTTTTGACCTTCAGCTGAAACAGTGAAATAGTGGAATAATATGCTTGTATAGTTCTTGAATTGTCCATTTACTCTGGCTAACTGAATTTACAAAAGTTGTTTCTGCTTAGGAAATGTACCTACGCATAACTGCTACATTCCTGGCTTCGTTTACATACCACAGGAGGCTGTATATGATTTTTAGTGTACCTTGGAAGTTAAACTACTATGGTCCTATCTTTATGCTTTTGATAAAAGCATAACAGAAAACATATTTTGACCATTTTCCCCACTGTTCTGCACTGCAAAAAAGTGAAGAAAAGGAGCTGGTCTGCAGGACACCTCGCTGTCCCTGAGGATCCCTGGTTAGCTGCCTGGTTCTGTATAACAAAATGACTAGACCCTGGAGGAATAACACAAACATGAACTCCAGTTAGCTAATAGCTGCTGAGCCTAATCATACAGCAGACCTGCTGGAGGCACTTTCAGAATTTCTCCCCTGCTGTGCTGTGGCAGCAATTTAGTCATAAACATCCTCTTTGAGAAACTGTTATTCTTATCTTATGGTATGATATTCCCCCTTCCCCTCATTTTTTTTTTAATGGCTAGAAGACTGTCCCCTCGCTACAGATATTGCTGCCATGTTGGGATGGCTATTTTTCCTCATTAGTAATAGTTCCAAAAGTCATTAATACAGGGCAATTAATATCTGCCAGGAGAAATAAATTATACTTTTCATAGAATTTGACATTTCTTCTCACTGCTGTTTAAGCGTTAATAATTAAGTGTGCAATAACAAACTGTGATCTAAAACTTCAGTATATGTCATCCAACAGTACAGTTTTGTACCTTTGTCTAGAATCATGAGTTATAAATTTACTTTGAGTCAGGAGCAGGTTTGTAAATTTGAGCTTTAAAAGATCAATGAAATATAATCTTTGGTAATATAATTGTCTTTTCAAGAGTTAGCTTGTTGAATTTCAGGTTTATTTTAGTCTTGATTCAAATACCATTCTATACTTTTGCTGGTAAGTGGACGTAATTTTAGCCAACTTTTTCAGTCAAATTTTTGTTCTTGCTGAAGGACGACGATTAGATTATAATGAAAGTGACTGGAAACATTTGTCCTTTATAACACATGAAATGACTGAATATAATATATTCTTCTCCTCAAAATCATCATGATGTAGCCCCACTTTTTACAGATTGAGTGGCGCATGCTAAAAGTATATGAAGGAGAGACTACCAGAGCACAGCCAAGCCACATAACTTTTTCTCATAGGTATAGTGCCATTATGGTGATTTTCTATATGCTGTATTTTCTGGCCTGAGGATTTTTGTAAGTAAAGTTTCTACAGATGTTTCCTGGCAGCAAATGGACCCCTCTTGCCAAGGTGAAAGAAATTTATTCTTTGCCTTTGTCGGCCTTGCATTCGGTTATCGGAGGTTTCCGATTGCTTGCTTTCATTTTCCAGAAGAGGGAAGAGTACTAGAAGTGGCAATAGTTTCTCTGTCCTTTCAGCAGGCAGTGACAACTTACTTTGATAGACAGCAGACAAATACAGGGAGATATTAACCTCTCCATATTCAGCGCTATTGCTGCTCCACCTGCTGACAAAAATGGTTGGAAATCCACAAAGTTTATTGAAGAAGTGACTCTTGCTTCTCACTTCAGCTTTGCCATGCTTTGTTCAAGCTGTTCAAGGCAGCCAATTCTCTGGTTTGAGCTAAAGTGTATGTTGGGAGAAGCGCTCTGTTCTTTCCGTGCCTCTCTATTTATCCTCCATGTGTGAAGACCTGCTAGCTAAGTGGGTGTCCTGGTTTCAGCTGGGATAGAGTTAACTGTCTTCCCCGTAGCTGGTACAGTGCTATGTTTTGAGTTCAGTATGTGAAGAATGTTGATAACACTGATGTTTTCAGTTATTGCTCAGTAGTGTTTAGACTATAGTCAAGGATTTTTCAGCTTCTCATGCCCAGCCAGGGCACCTGACCCAAACTGGCCAACAGTGTATTCCATACCATGGGACATCCCATCTAGTTTAGGAACTGGGAAGGGGGGGGCAGGGACCCGCCGCTCGGGGACTGGCTGGGTGTCGGTCGGCGGGTGGTGAGCGATTGCCCTGCGCATCATTTGTACATTTCAATCCTTTTATTACTACTGTTGTCATTTTATTAGTGTTATCATTATCATTATTAGTTTCTTCTTTTCTGTTCTATTAAACCGTTCTTATCTCAACCCAGGAGTTTTACTTCTTCTCCTGATTTTCTCCCCCATCCCACTGGATGGGGGGGAGTGAGTGAGCGGCTGCGTGGTGCTTAGTTGCTGGCTGGGGTTAAACCACGACAGTGGGAATGGATGGTTTGATGTGTGTGCTGTTCTGCAAGTCTAGATAGACCTAGCTGGTCATGCAGGCAGATGCTGAGGGAGATGAAGTCTCTAGGTTAAATTGAGACAACAGTATGGGATGAGAAATCCAGAGCCGTGTGATGATTTCTGGTGGGGTACAATCTGGGCTCTCAGTGGATCTGTGTTCATGAGGAGATGTATACTAAGCCAGTGAGAACTGTTTTCTTTTGCCAGGCACAAAAAGCAAACCATCTCAAGCTCCTGTAAGTCTTTAGGCCAACCACAGTGACAACTGCAGACTTGTGAACATTTACAGGCTTATGTTTCCCCAGTTAAATTCCCTAAAATTTGTTCAGCCAGATCAAGCAGAAAATATTCTGGGAAGCAGTTGTCTTAAGCTTCTCATCACAAGGCTACTATTCAAAGTGATTTTCAGCCCTGTTTGTGTTTTAACAAGAGGTGCATCCTTGTTATTACATTATTCTAGGTCAGCTTAAATGTATTTCTTTGCCACGTGATTCAAACTAAATTTAATGATGTTTTATTTATTTATTTTCTCCTTCCCTTTCTGGTTCCATTTTTTTTTTCCTGGTACTTTGCAGTAAATACAACAAAAATTTTTCTGTTATCAAGAGCAAAATTAGGATGTCCCATTTCCCGCATTTTGCTTTACAAGCCCTCAATAACTGTAGCTAATTCCTTATATTCACCATTTCACATGAGAAACCATCTGCAGTTTTTCTGAGTCTGTTAGCTCTTAGTGGAACACTTTTTGCTATTGCATTTTTCTGAATAAGTGGTTTATCATTGTGTAGAAAGCATTTGAAGAGTGCATGGAGCACTGGAGAGAGATCCCACTTGTCCCTTTTCTTTCCCTTTAGTCCTTTTGGCTGGAAATTTGTAGGGAAGTGCTCCAGGTCCCTTAAAATCCACAGAGGTTTTTTGTTTCTTTTAGATTCTTTCCCCTCTCTGGAAGAGGTACAGCTGTGCTTGCTGCAATAGTTTTTGTCCCAGTAGGCAAGCAATGTATCTGAACCATGTTCTGAAATAGGTGTGTCTCATTGTGAGGGAGGGTAATTCGGCCTCTGTACCCTGTTTATTTTCTGATTTGCCTGAGGTCTAACACACTGGTAGAGGTACCCAACCTTTTGACAAGAGCTGATGCTGTTGGCAAAACATCTGAGGTTTCTTTTGACCCAGTGAGGTGAGTGGCGTGTCACTATTTAATGAGAAGCAGAAATGTCCTTCTGGAAGCAGATGGCATTTGAGGTGCAGTGTTAGAGAGGAGGCCAAGCAGGACTAAGGAAGAGCGCTAATAGCTGTTGCTGCTTCTACTGCAGGAAGCAGGCAAGGCATTCATATCAAATGATATGTTTTTTCATAATCATCCTGTTAACCAGCCAAACCTGAAGACTCTACACTGAGTGCAGTTTCTTTTTGTTTTGTTCTGAAGCATGGTGAATTGGGTAACTTACCCATATAGTGGCAAAATCTAAAAATTCACAGTATTTAATGTAGTGGTGACTGTATACGAGAACTTTTTAATGTGCTGTTGTGCTAATGTGGCACCAAAATAAGGGGAATTATTTCATACTGAAATAATTAATGTGCCAGAAAAAAATTTCATGTATTTCATCATTAACATTAAGCACTAAAATGCACGTAGAAATTGTTAGTGTTACCTAACATCACTCAATTACTTTGAAATTGAGTTCTTCAATGTACTAGTATACATTTCCTTTGGATGCAATAATGCCTTTCAGAGAGATGGGAGATGTCTAGATTTATAGCTACAATTGTTTAAATATAGCCTTATCTTTGAGAATCTCTGGAGACAGCGTTTCTTTTCTAAATTTTTTTTTTTTTTTTAAATTATTAGTGTGATGGTAGTTTTAGAGCTGGAACTGTTCTTGAGCAATATACTAATAGTAGGTTGTGTGTTACTCAGATAATAACTTTTCTAGATTTTATGCATGCAGACAGATACTTTATTTTATTTGTTTTCTATTGAATCCTATGAATTTAAAAGAGGAGTTAACACACCATGCCATGTTTGGTAACAAAAGCCTATCGCTGTATGTTCCTTTTCATCATTCTTTCCCTTGTAAACGAACAGCAGGCTTCTCTCTGCAGTCAAAACCACTAGGAAATAAACACCTCCATGTGGGATGTGAAGGATTCTTAAATTGCTCTTACACGGTTTTTGCCCATATTTGTCTGCCTGTGAGAGACTGTGGCACTTGCAGGCAAAATCTGGGGAAGGAGGACAAACTGTTGAAAAATCAGAGTCTTACTCCACCGTAGTCAGAACTTGGGTAGCTTGTAGTGAAGTAATTCAAAGAAAATGTACTATACTGACTCCAAAGGGTCATCTTCTACGTAGTTGTTGCCTCCTGAGCTTTTTTTTCTGGCCACACCTCAAGATGGAGTGACCTGAAGCACAGGCCAGGCAGGCTGTAGGAGCTGTGAGCTGTTAGTGTGGAGTGCTGCAACTTCAGTATCCTCCTGGCCAGCCAACCCTCCATGTCGAAGACTGCCCTTGACAGAAAGCCAGTTGGACCATAAAAATATAGGGCTGCAGAGGTCAGCATTACACTTATTTCTGTTCTTTATTATTTGAAGGGACTGAACCGCTGCG